CTGTCTTTCTCTCTCTCTCTCTCTCACACACACACACACGGATGCACACACGTCACCTCATGTATCTTTTGCATTGCCATTGTATATCTGTCTGCCACTTTTATTAGACTGTGAGCTTCTTAAGGCAAGGACTGTCTTGCACCTCCACACCATCGACACCTAACTCAGTACTTAACACACAGGCACCCCACAAATATTTGTTAAATGCAAAAAAAAAAAAAAAAAAGGCCTCCAAGCTGGGTCTCTCAGAGGTCACAGGGGGAGGTCTGAAATGAGAATGCAGAGTGGCCACCTAATGATGCAAGAATTATAGCCCTGTAATATTTAGTGGAAAATTTTCAACAAGAGCTTCTTTGGTTTTTAATTAGAAGAATTATGTTAATGAGCCACCTTGCAAAATCCCTGATAATCATGTTCCAAGCTTACCCCACTGGGTCTCATTTAGATGTGAAGAATAACAGAAACATGGTGGTAATGAAGACGATTTCTGGCCTCAATTAGCACATGCTGCCCTTACTGCACTTTGAGGATCTTCTGCCAGATCAACACACATCGCTGTCTCAGCAAACAGCAGCCATGGGGCTTTTCCAGGTTCTCTGTCACCTTTTCTTTGCACATTTGCTAAGTTTTCCCACTGTCAGGCTCGCCACATAGTCAGTCCATTGATCACCTTCATGCTACTGAGATTAATGTGAAATATTGGTCCTTTAACTCTCTCTCAATAGATGTTCATTGAATGGTCCTAGCATCTGGGAAGACAGGAAGAGTTGCATGGAGGTATCATCATGGACTTTGGCCTTCCAGGAGTTGACATATGAAAGATTAGCCGCTGATGTTCAGATTTATTTATTCATTCACCCAATCTGTCTTCCTGTCTGCTTAGTTTTAGTAGAATGTTCTCATAGGGCTCTGTCTCCCTGGCCACAGTTGCTTATTCTAAAGTGGGCTTTGGACTTCCCCAGGAATGGAGAGAGAGGCCAGGCTCGCTCCAAATATGGGCTTTGTGAGATGTATAATTTAGCAGCTGTCACATTGAGAAAGTAGTGACAAGAAAAGAGGAGCTGAGATGAAGACGGAGGGAGAGAGTGTCCTAGTTCTCCTTGTTCCTGAAGCAGGAGTGCTCTGCCCCTTGTGAAGTTTGATAGTTAGCCAGTGTTTTAGGGTTGGTGTGGAGAAATAAACTGCCTACCTTTGTTCAAGGTAGTAATGATTCTTACCTAAGAGATATTTTCCTTTTCTATCATATACCAATGATTTTGAGCTGCTCACATAGTTACCCCAAGTGAAGGCTATATTTCCTGGGTGATAATGTGACTAAGTTCTGGCCAATAGGACAAAAGCAGAAAGCTGTGTCATTTCTGAGTTGTACCCTTAAATGGAAGGTGGGTATTCTCCTACCCATTTGCCTTTTCTCCCTTCCTGCTGACAGTGACATTGACATGGTGATAAACTTGTAGCATAAAAATGAGGACAGCATCCACGGGACAGTAGAGCAGCAAGCTCAAAGGTACTGGCCCCTCACATCAGGCAGCTGCCATATCAGTCCAGGGTGCTTACATCAAAGGCCATTACATGGCAGGGGAATAATCCTTTAGTTTGTTAAGCCTCTGTACTCTGGTTCACTCATATAGTAGCTGAAATTATATTCTAAATAATATAGAGAATTTTATTCTGAATAACTAATTCTAAATAGTAATAATATAGTAAATTATTTTCTAAAAAACAACCCCAAAAGTCCTGAATAATTGTATCATTTATTGAGCACCTACTGCATGCTAGGTTCTGGTGGAACAGTAAAGAAGAACAACCAGCCTAGTCTCTGTTCTCACGGTGATTGCAATTTAGCAAGGGGATATGGATGCTAGTTAATTACACAAAAGCTTCCTAATTACAATTGCAACAAATATGATGAAGGAGAGAGTGCTGTGACAGCAGATGCCATATATGAAGCGGACTAACTTGAGACCTAAAAAGATTACGCTCATGAGAGAGTGTGCAGAGCAGACAGTGGACTGGCAGAGAGAATGGCCTATGTGAAATCGCCAAGAAGGGTGCCAGCTTTTTCAAGGTTCAGAGCAGTGGAAGGAGCAAAGTTCAAGCCCAAAGCTAGAGCTGATGATGATGGAGGTCGCAGGAGTCAGGTCATGCAGGGCCACTCCAGCTGGTGATGAGAGTAGGGCTTTATCGTAAGAGCAGTGGGAGCCATGGAGGGCTGTTAGGCAAGGTCAGATGTGCATCTGAACAGCGTGACTCCTGATGTCAGTAAAGAATGGGTTAGGGAGTCGAGGGAGTGTGGGGTGGAACAGAGGAGGCCATTATGGTGGCTCTGCCGAGAGAAGAAGGTGTTTAGATTAGTGTGAGGCGGGGTGTCTTGTCTTGAAAGGCACTGAGAATTTCTCCAAGATATCTAATCCAAATTTGTGACTTCTACTTTTCTGCAGTGAGGGCTATTGGGTCTCACCCCAGCATCCTCCTTATCCTTCTGCACTGATTCTGCTTTTAATTAGCTTCCCGAGGCTGAACTCAGTCCCAGCACAAGGATGAATCTGATTGGTCCATCAGTAATCTCACTCCTCAATCAGAGGATGGTTCAGAATGAGCATGTGACTCCAAAGGAGTCAATAGAACGTGAAGGCAAATCCACTAGGAACTTCTGGGACGTACAGGCTTACAGCTCCTAAATGAGAGTGACGGGAAGAAGTGATCTCTCTTTTTCCCACACATGCTTGTCATGTGAAAGTAAAGTAATATCAATCTGAAGATGACCTCAACCCTGAGTCTGACCGTGAGAAGAGCCAGAAAGAACCTGGGCCCTCCATAACATTGCCTTGGCTGAATCAGCCACTCCCAAGGCCGAATTTCAGTGCAGTGACTGTAAGTGTGATGTCATGTTTCCCAATCATAGAAGCCAGTTCAAGTTCTGAATTCTGTTACTTGCAGCTGAAATCATCATCACCAAGGTCTCCCCCCGCCACACACACACATCAAGAAAAACTACTGGGCAGCCCAGGGCTTTTCCTGGTCAAAGAGCTGGATTCTTTCACGCAAGGCATTCCTAGGACTGCTCAGCTTGCCCGAAGTGGAGATGCAAATGGGTGAGAGAGGTGTGGATTTAATAATTGTGCAGGTCTCTTCCTTCTCCCCCCACAGGCCTTGAGAGGGGAGGGGATCTGGGTTCTTCATCTCTACTAGAGTTTCCCAGTGTCTCAGAATATTTGGAACTGAGCTATGTTCAGATTCTTGACTATCTAGGCAATTTAGTATCGTTATAGAGTATCTTTATGGCATGAGTATCTTCATGGTCACTCATCTCTTAATCTGTGGCAGACATCACTAATCAATTGCCCTTTTTCCTCCTGAGGAGATCAGACCCAGTTTTTCAGCACCATCATTCACTAGGCATTACCAGTCAATCTGAATTAGCTGAGTGTGATGAAATCTACATGGCCTCCTTGACTCTCATTGCTGAGCCTTGTGCAAAACACTTGTTTTAGTTTCTAACATACTGCAGCAAATCAGATGACTTCAAACAATGGAAATTTAGGTTCTCATGGTGCTGTGGAGTAGAAGTCTGAAATCAGGGTGTCAGCAGGGCTGTGCTCCCTCTGCAGAATGTAGGGAAAAACTCATTCTTTGCTTCTTTCAGCTTCTGCTGTTTGTTGGCATCCTTGACTTGTGTCCCCCTTACAAGGACTCATGTGATCATATTATGGTCCATCTGGATAATCCATGATAAATTTTTCTTCTCAATATACTTAATCTGATTCTTTTTGGATATAGGGTAATATTCACAGGTTCTGGGGATGAAGATGTGAAGTTATCTGTTTCAGATTCACCATTCCATGCACTAGACCACTGAGATACAAAGGTTAATAAGACATAGCCTGTTTATAAGGAGCTACACTCTGGATATGAATATACTAATTGGCAACTACATGATGGTATTATAAATGCTAAGAAAGAGGCTAATATAAAAGGAGGGGTGCATAGTAGGTGCCTAGTCTTAGTAAGCAGAAAGTCATCCTAGAAGGCTTCCTGAAAGAGGTGGCATCTTTGTTATTAGTAGCTCATCCCTCAGTTAGTTCACATTCTTGTACATTCATTTGTTTACATTCTTGTAAACGTTAGTCTCTAAGCAACCAATAAGCATTCTGTTTCCACTGCTCCAGTTTGAAGACGATATCTTAGTTCATTGGTGGAAAACCTGTGACACATGTGTTATTTGTTTTTCATTTGAGACCAAAATATTTCAGCGTATGAGTTATTTTTTCTAAATGAAAACCTCAGTATTCAGATTTAATTGCAGTGTTGGCACTTTGTGATAAATTAGTGGGTTTGGGGTTACAGTTTGGACCCTCATCTCCAAAAGCTTCGCCATCACTGTTAGTCTTTGGGGCCTGCTGTAACCGAGTACCGTAGACTGGATAGCTTATAAACGACAGAAGTTAATTTCTCACAGTTCTCTGCAGCCTAGGAAGTTGAATATTAAGGCGCTGGCAGATTTGGTATCTTGTGAGGGTCCCTTTCCTGGTTTACAGACAGCTGGCTCCTCACTGTAACCTCATGTGGCAGAAAAAGCAAGGGAGTTCTCTGGTGCCTCTTTTGTAAGGACACTCACTAATCTCACTCATGGAAGCTGCGCTGTCATGTCTGATCACCTCCTAAAGGTCCCACTTCCTAATACCATCTCTTTGGGGATTAGGATTTTAATAGATAAATTTTGGAGAGACATAGAAATTCAAACTGTAGTAGATATTGTAGCAATATGAAGAGAGCAAATATACTTCTCTCCCAAAAGGAGAAGAACACAGCAGTTAGCGAGACCAAGGGAATATTCACACTGGAAACACTGTCTGCCACACACTCCCGTCAACGTGCCTTCTGGGTGCCTGGCTTCATTTCTGCAAAGCTATGTGAGCATCATTCCCTGTAGGGAGGCTGGCTGATCCTTCCTTGAAGCAAGTGCAGTGGATTCGATCTTGATTCTCTTGTTACCTGCAGAGCATGTGGACCAAGCAGACAGAGGCATGGGCCACCCACTCTCAGAGATGTGGGAAAATGAATCGGAATAACAAGAGAAAATGATTCCAAACAGAAGAGGAAAGTGACGATGTGATGAAAAGGAAAAGAGATTGGGATTTGATGGAGAGTCACAAAGGTAAGTCTTGAGTCCTGGCCCCATGTGTCCCTTAAGAATGCCCACCTGAGAAGACACACCAATCAAGGCTCTGTTGGAATAAAACAATCTGTATCCAAACTGGGTTAAGCAGACAGGACGAATTGACTTTTGACTGAGAGGTCCAAGTTCCCTCTTCACATCAGCCTGGATTTAAAAAAATGTAAATGATGTGACTTAGATATAAATCTAATCCCTTCCTCCTCTGTGGTTTAGAATTTTCTCTGTGTTGCTTCATCCTGGTGGGCCACAGTAGCGTCAGGCTTAGTTTCCCAGTATAGCAATTTAAATGGAAGAAAACTATTTCTTTCCCAATATTTCAACCAATAACCTCTAGTCTGGAGCTTGGGTCCAGTATGGATTGCATGACTGGATTTTACCAAGACCCAGCAACTATGGGGTGAGTTTACCCTTGGCCCTTCTGGTGTAAGTGGGTGGCAGTTAGAAGTCAGTCTTTTTTCTACCCTCAACCATCTGAGAATGGGAAACTCTGGTTCTTCAAAGGAAAAAAATAAATATATCTCTAAATCTAAAGAGTAAGGTACTAGTTATGCCAAACAAAACTAGTATCTACACAAAACACAACAATAATAATTTCTGGCATTACTCTAATCCCTAACACTACATTGGAGTTCACATATTTCACTTCATTCTCACAGTAGCCCAATAAAATAAACATTGGTATATAGATGAGGAAATTAAGGCTAAGTGAAATGAGGTTTGTTTTTTTTTTAAGGTTGCTTGGATTTAAGTTGGAATCCATCTGACTCCAGAGTGTATTCCTTCTGCCAGACCATGCCTTCTCTCTTGCTAGTGACCTGCAGCTTCTACCTTTCTGTGCTTCAGTATCCTAGCTCAGTGGTTCCGGCACCTGCCTCAGTATCCTCTTTAGTAAAATGGAGACCTTCCTTGCTGTGTTATTTTGAGTGTTGAGTGGTATACATTTAATAAATGTAAGCGGTTGCAATTGATCATTACTGGGCTCTTGGGAATGCTCCTGGGAGTCTAGTCAGGGGAGCCCATCTGATAAAGCTCCCTCTGTCTCCCTCATCCCCAGAATTTCAGAGAGAAGCAGGGGAGGGTTCTTTCAGGTTCTTTCAGGCAGATTCCAGGTCTTCTTGTCCTATGTAGAGCTTCCAGTGTTAAGAATTCTCTGGAAACAGTCAGCTCGTGGGATTCTTGGAAGTCCATCTGCACGTGCTAAATGGCTCCTCGTCCACCTTGGAGATGGGGCATACCAAGCGGATACCAAGAGGCTGGAAGGGTTGAGAGGCCTCCAGTTGTCCAGAGAGGTACTGGACTTTGACTCTATGACAAATGCTTCTCCTCCTCATCCTTCTTCTCCTCCTCTTCTTCCTCCTCCTCCTCCTCCTGCTCCTTCTCTTCTTTGCCCACCAAGAAGGCAGCTGGCTGTGCTGGAGATTGGCATATTCTCTTTGCACCTGCCAAGCTGAAGCAGCATATTGATAATGACTTGCAAATGTGAAATAGATAGGAACCATTTTGCACTTCAGTGGAATAACAGGTGTTATTTCTCTGCTGGAGGTAGAGGATGGAGCTGGCACTTCTCTTCCATTGGGATGTAAGGGAGATAAAGGAAGTCTCCACTTACCTGGGCTATTGGTGAGTTCTGGGCTCTTGTAATGCACCTGCTATTTGCCTAGCATTTTATTATGGCATCTCATATAATCTGCACACACTCTCCTTGGAAAGAATTGGTTATCTGTAAGTGTATTCATGAGCTTTTTGTTATCATAACAACATACTCCAGAGGCAGGGTGCTTATGAAGAAAAGGAGATTTATTTAGCTCACAGTTTTGGAGGTTCAAAGGCATGATCCCACATTAGTTCAGTATTGGTGGGAACCTTACGGTGGATGGCAGATGGCAGATAGCAATGGCAGGAATGTGTGTAGGAGCAAGCAAATGATAGCATCTTGAACCATGAGCAGAGAGGCTTGCTCCTTTTATAACATTCTCTCCCAAGAGCTTAAGGGGTCTCATGAGAGCTACCTTCCAAGGGCACACCCTCCATGACCTCAGGACCTCCCAGTTAGCCCCACCTCCCAAAGGTTCTACCACTTCCCAACAGGACTACCCCGCAGAGGAAGCCTCAACTCATAATGCACCCTTGGGAGACACCCAAGCCATATTCAAACCATACCATTAAGGTTATAGACGAAGAACGTGATGTGTCACAGAGAGAAGAGTACAAGAGTGGGGACCTCAATGGAGAAACATCTGGTGCTGAGGACTAGACTAGTGTTCCACCTGTCCATCCAAGCTTAGGGGAGGCATTCTGAAGGGAGTGACATGGGGCTTTCTCACAGCACAAGTTCTGGAGCTAGACCAGGGATTGGCAGACTTTTCCCGTGAAGGTTCGCATAGAAATAGTTTAGGCTTTGCAGGACACATGGTCTTTGTTCCAACTACTCACCTTGCTTTTGTACAGGCAAGTAGCTCTCAACATGGACAATAAGTAAACTAACAGGCATGGCGGGGTTCCAATAAAACTTTAGAAAATCAGCCGGCACAAAATACTAAATCACCTGAGTTTGACCCCTGTCTGTTCCAGTTACCAGATGTGTGACCTTATTTAATTCTCCTGGGCCTCAGTTTTCCCATCTGTAAAGTGGGAATCCTAATACCTACTGATACCTAACCTAAGTGTGCCATCTCATGACTTGTTGCAAGAACTGATGAGTTGATGCCTAAAGAGATCTCTTGTGCCAGTCTGTGGTGGAGAATGAGGGTCAGTGCCAATTAGCACTATTATTGTTCGCATCTTCATCATCTTCTGCAACATGCTCCAAAGGACTTGGAACTGTAGGTGAGGATCTTAGTACCCACTCCTCAGGGTTGCAGTGAGAATGAAAGGAGAAAGGGGGATACAAACTCTTGCACACAGTATGTGCTCAGTGAGCTGGCAGGTGACCCCCTTTGTTTTTATCAGTGCTGCTCTCCTGGTATAAGAGAAAGAAGACCCAGCCACATGCCCTCCAGATGCCCATGTCTTAACTGGGAAAGACAGAGCTGTAGGAAAGGTTAAGGGAAGCTTCAGTCACCAAGCAGAAATTCAGGGCTCCATAGAAGAGAGTCCCATAATCCAACCCAGGGGAATCCTCCCTATAGAAATCCTCCCTATAGTGGGGTTGGATGGAGGCTACAGCAATCATTTCCTATGGAGTTGGTCACCACTAGCTGCATCTGTGATCACAATGAAGGAGAAACTCTGCTGCCTGAGGAGGAAGTGTCCTTACTTGCTCTTTGCTGTAAATCTCCTGGTGTTCCTGCCGATGACATACAGCCTGCATGATTCAAGGAGTTAGCTAATGTCAACATAGGTTAGAAATACTGTGTGCACTCCATGTTTATGGCTTACTATTAGCCAGCCTCCTCGGATGTGATGGGAGAAGGCAGATGGGGAGTGGATTTGGTGTTCTCTGCTACTGTGAGCCGCCAAGATGCCTGCACATGAGTCTAAACCACAATGGAGGAGAAAGACACCAGGCAGAGGCTAAGATAGGGCTCCAAGTCAGAGATGGGAGTTCAAGTCCTGCTTTAGCCGCTGGATCTCTGGGTGACCTTGGGCAGTGTCTTCACCTGGAAGACAGGGATCCCAATAGGATTCAGGAATAGAGTACATGGAAGTCTCTAGCAAGGTCCCTGCTGCATAGGAAGCTGTTCTGCTGGGGACGATTGGTGAACATAAGAACTTGGGGTAGGATGGACCTGGATTTGAATTCCACTCAAGCTTGGCCATGTGACTACCCAATTGCACTTCATATCCCATCTGTAGGGTGGGTACAATAATTAAGCATACAAGAAATGTCTAAAGCATTTAGTTCAAATGCTGGCACACTGCAGGTGAGAGTAAATGAGACTTGTTATTTATTATTTCTATTGTTATGGCCCCAGATGTGGATGGCAGTTGTGGGTGACCGAGAAAGAGGGAAGTACCTGCCTGAAGTCTGGCTGACCAGAGAGAGGAAGCAGGAGGATGGAACTGTGTCCACACCCTGGCTTCTAGCCCAGTCTTTGAGTCTGACCATGTGGCTTTAATTTGACCCTTAGCTTCTGGAACCTCATTCCCAGGAGAACTTGGGCAGATATGCCAGGGAACACCCTAGCAGGCACCTGCTAGGGCTCAGGCCTCTAGGCTTGCTCTCAAGCAAGAGAAAATGTAGCATTGGGGTTTATTTTTGATATCACATGGGTCTCCCTGAGACTCAGTTTCTTCCTTTGTTTAAAGATTAATAGTGTCAGTGTCTACGTGGTGAAGACTTCTCTTCTTTTGTTTTGTTTTGTTTTGTTTGAGACAGGGTCTTGCTCTATAACTCAGGCTGACTTTGAACTCACTATGTAGCCCATCTGGCCTGGAACTCATGGCAATCCTCCTGCCTCAGCCTCCCGAGTGCTGGGATTACAGGCACGCACCACCATGCTCGGCTTGGTAAAGGCTTCTTATAGCACTTCCCAAGTGCCAGGCAGTGTTGCAAATGCTTTCACATGATGAATCATTGGATTCTTAAAACTGCCCTCGTGGCAGGAAATATTATAACCTTCACATATTGGTTTCTTGAAGCTATTAGACAAAATTGGAGGCTTAGAATAACAAAAATATATTTAAGGTATTGGCAGGCCATGCTCCCCCCAGGCGCTCCAGGTGAGAATTCTTCCTGTGCCTTCTCTGCATCTGGTAGCTGCTGGTATCTCTTAGCTCATGGCTGCCTCATTGTATCTCTGCTTTCACGTTCACATTGCCTCCTCCTTGTCTGTCTGTGCCTATGTCAGATGTCCTTCTGTTTCCTTTGGAAGAACACTGATGCTGGGCGTTAGGGCCCATCCAGACAATCTGAGAAGATCTTAAGAAGATTAAGAAGATTCTTAATCACATCTGCCAAAACATTGCTATATAAGGCAACCTTCAGAGGTTCTAGGGATGAGATCCTACTATCTTTGGAAGCCACTGTTCAGCCCACT